AAACCAAGTAGAGTTTTAGAGTACTCAAATAGAATACTTTAGACTTGATGCAACAGATAATAAGGAGCTCTTATAGACTCCTCAATAAGGAAATACTTGGTACAGGGATATATCAAAAAGATTGATCTCCATGAAACTTAATTCATTGCAAACACGAATTAAACTTTTCTAAGAAATAAGTCCAAATAATGAACTAAATAACAATGAAGCGTTAATAATGAAGGAACTGAATATTTTGCTAAAAAATTCCATTCTGGGATAATTAAGGGATAAATCAGTTCAAATGAAAGATGTCACTGTTATTAAAACTTCATTTATTGAATTATGTTTCATGTGAACAGTGTATTTTAAGATCATTTGATTATCATATAAGTCAATGTCATTTCCAGTTTTTGGAAAATTGATATTAATGCCTTGTCACTGAAAATGTAACTGAGTTTATCAAATTAATTTCTCAAAGGCCACCTGATAGCCACCAGATGGCAACCTGCACTGACGTCAAATTCGAGTTATTGATGGCCCTATGACTATGCATTACCACTCACTCGTTCCACTGGGTTCCTTTAAAATCATAAAACACGAAGGCTTTCTACTATTTCCCTAAATTCCATTTGAACGAAATGAAATATGTTCTATCCAAAATGCTTGCAATAATTAAAGTTATTTTTTTCTTAATAGGAGTCTATCTAGAAATAGCACAATATGGAATGATCGTTAATATCCCTGTTATGGTACTTGAATAAATGCCCATCAAGAGCACGGGTACACAGTAGTAAATTTCCTAAAGAAAATCCATTTTCATTTCAAATTCTGACATTTTATTTAGAAAAATTGCACCCTTTCTTTTAATTATTTCAGTAAACATAATGAGGGTATTGCTAACTACACCTCAGAGTACTTTATTTTCTCCATTTTTTTTTTGTAATATGAGTCTACTTGTAATTAAAGGCACACTGCATTAATGATGCCAAGGGTCTCCAAGGGAAACACTTAATGTCCACCTCATAATATTATGCCAAAATTACATGCACAGAAGACTTTTTAATAATCTTTGTTTCCTAATTTAGTTTTGATTGGCTCTGAAATCCACAGCAGCTCTCAAGGGTTCACATTTCCACAGTCATCAGCACTTCTGCACCATCAATTGTACAAACGCACATGACTTCTTCCGTCTGCAGGCTTCTTTTCAAAGCTTCTGTTTAACTTATCCAGAAAATTAGCTGCAGGCTGGAGATAATTGCAGATAATTTTGCCATTTTTAAGCCACTGGGGTGTTGCGTGGAGATATGACAGCTAAGTTTGTCTAAACACAAGAACAAGTCATAGCTTTGTGTTGTCACTTCAGCTTTACACATAGGTTCAGATCATCCTATTTGCTCTTTATGCAAATTGAAACAAATTGTAGTCACTAGATGGTCTGTGTTTTCTGACAAAGCTGTGCTACATGAAGCTTTTATATGGCTGGAAGAAGGACATGATCTATACTAAAATATTAACCCAGCCTTAAAAAAATGTTTAATCTTTTTGTACCCCTCAGATTCTTCCTCCTTAACAGAGATACTTCTTGAGCTATCAATAACTTACACGTAATATATTTAATTAAAAAGAAAATGTATGGTCTCAATATACACAATTCATATATGTGTATTATGTGTTCTGTTTCCTCTATTCTATGCTCATAAATAAAAACGTCAGTGTGCTCCCATAAAACTAACATTCATACATGCTGGTAGGATAAATATACAACAATTTAAAATCACTAAACATTAAAAAATTATTAAATAGGCCATCCAGGTTAGTAAGCAGAGATCTACTGGCAAATGGAATCATGTAGCCCTTTTTCCTAAAACTTCACAATAAACTATATGCTGCATTCCTGGATGGCCACTGCCATGGAATGATGGAGCAAGCGCAAAAGGCAGCAAAGGGAACTCCTAATGCATTGCCAGTGAACTTCAACTTTATATAAAATAAATCAGCTATGGGAATTTCAGGGTATTTCTCTCATCAAATGTCCCCTTAGTGCTCAGAATTGTTATACTCGCAGCTAATAAGGGTGTACTCACTAACCGAGTAGGTGATTTCTGAAACCATTTTGCAGCAAACATTTACATATAAGGGTTAAGTGGTGATTGTGCTTGTGTGGCAGCTGCCCTGATGTAATGGGCAATAACGACCCTGCAGAAGCAGGTATGGGTGCTGGTGTCAATGAGGAAAGAACGAGAAAGTCATAACACAAATGACTTGATGGATTCCCATTAGACCTTGGACTCAGGAGCACCTAAACAGGTCTGATAGGACAGCATCCTACATAGCTGTACAGTCATGTGTCAAGAACCCTTCCACTAAAGAGTTTTATGGAAAACCCAAAACTGCAGAGAAGACATGTTGCTGTACGAGGCCATTATCATTGACTTGGCAGAGAATATGCACACAAATGGTCCCGAAGAATGCGCTTAAAGGATACATTATTAAATCTGTTATGCCAATCATATGCATATTAAGGACTCCAAACTGAGCATCAATAGGGAACATCCCACAAATCTGACTCTGTCCCTTGGAAAACCATTCGGCCCAGTGACGAGCTTAAATGCAACCAAGGCTTCCAAATATCTACATCATACTAAGATGTAGCCTTTTAAAAGACTGTCCCGTGGATTTGGGGGTAAATATATAAAGTGTACACATCACTGCACTTGAGAAAGCTGAGGGATAACACTAATTATTTTTTCCTCTTTTGGTTTCTAACATCACATGGGTAGTGAACTGGGAGGGAACTGACTTGTTTAAAGGCTTGAGACCATGTCCCCATGAAAGGTGGTCATGAGAAGTTTTGTAAAGTGCCCTTTCCCACTCATGAGCAGAAAGAGAGGCACGCTGAAGACAGCAAGGAAGCCCTTCCATAGGAGGACAGGATCAGGGCTCAGTTAGCATTCTCTTGCCAGGGGCTGAGGTCAGGAAAGCTGTACACACCATCCAGGGCTGATGCGAATAGAAACGGCACTCTGAAGGAGACCTGCTATTTTACTTAGATCTGTAAATTATGAAACAATTCCAGAAGAGGCATATTGCTACCAGTGTCATGCAAACCAACAGACAGAGCTAGAGTGTTCTCCATAATATGAAGAGTTGGCCCAGAACTCGTTCTCTGTTGCGAAGGGTGGAAGACTACACGACCTATCACCTGCACCACAAGTGCACCCCAGATTTGCAATGAGATCTTAAATTTGACCTTTTTTTTTAAAAAAAGACTTTAATTTATTTATTTATTCACAAGAGACACAGAGGGACAGAGACACAGGCAGAGGGAGAAGCAGGCTTCATGCGGGGAGCCCAACATGGGACTTGATCTCGGGATCCCAGGATCCCAGGATCACACCTTGAGCCAAAGGCAGACGCTCAACCACTGAGCCTCTCAAGCGCCCCTTAAATTTGACCTTTTATGAGAGATTATCAAACACCTGGTATATAGCCAACAAATGTCCCTGCTCTTTTACATACAGACTTATTATAGTTTTGCTAATGTGTTTGAATAAAGCTCTTCTGGAAGTCTCTGGTTTCTAAAATGTAGCTTGCTTTTTTTTTTTTTTTTTTTTTTTTTTTTTTGGGCAAACACATACCTGTTCCCCAGAAAAACGGGTCCTCTCTTTGAAATATTTAGTCTTTCAGGGCACTTTAGTCATAGTGACACCTAATAGCCAAGCTCTTTTTCTGACTCTCCACAAAATCAGGTTTAGACTATAATTCAAACCAGTCCCCAAAGGCACTTCTGAAAAATGGCAAGCCGTTAGGTTTTAGGTAAAAACACTCTTTATTGTTCAAAATTGTTTCCTGTTACAAAACCTTTTCCACAGTGCTAGGTCTAAGATGATCTTATGCTAATTTAACTCACTGGGGACTGTGAACAGATGCTACTTTGATTAATAGTTTCACTATCCTGAAAATGCCAGGCCAGGTTCAAGATAATAAAGTCAGGTAAGAATACTATTAAAATCTGCCATGTGATTATATCTGTTATGGGAAGAAAAATGAGATCACAATTCCAGGATCAAATAAAGACCACCTATGATAAAAAAAAAAAAAAAACAATGACATAAACCAAATGAACACACTGTCTGAATTCTTTAGCACATTGATTTACAACATGTTAATCACCGAACTCTTTACTAATACCTTATAGGTAAACTTTCAACCACGTCCTTGGTGAAAATTCAACGCATCACCCCAACGTTATCTCTTCACACAGGATTTAACTTTCCACCCAGCAAAAGACTATGGATACCACAAGTAAAAACAACAAATTCTGTAATTCTGCTTATCAAAAGGACAGCATCTGAATTTGTATGCCCAGGCCATTACTCTCCAGCAAATATGTTTTCAATATTCCAAAGGTCATATTTAAAATACTCATAGAAAACCATGACCCTTGAAAATAAGGGCCTGCATAAGTTGACAAACGAGCCTATTCTTGAGGCATTAGCTCCTCTATCCTTTGCTTCTCTTCTCACTGATCTCATAACCAAGGACTTCCACGTTACAGCAGTTTCCAGATGAGGAAAACCATGAACTCTAATCTAGCCTTAAACAATGAAATTGGCCTCACACAGGTATGTGAAGAAACCTTTGTGTTGTTAAAGTGGTTTACCAATGGATTTTCATCCTTTACCATAATGCATATGACCTAATCCTATTCCCAGTCTCCAACGTGAAATTAACCTTCAGCTGAACTTTGTCTTTTATAATCTATACACAATACACCTGTCTCGGTGGAATCTTTGGTTTGCAGGAAGGCAGAAGGTACATTCCAGTGCATCGATCACACTGCGACTTGTAATTCCAGGGCCTGCAAGCAAGCCTCCATTGAGAAGGAAGCTAGCCTGTTAGCACAAATCTGCCACCCACAGATTCAGCGCATGAGTCTTTACACTCCCAGCATTTGTACACATAGATGACATGCCCCCACGTAATATGAAATACTCTATTCAAAAGGGTTGCCTCACCATTGCACAGAATGTCTCAGGAGGGTCTCCACAGGTAATGTCCGGAGGATCCAGTTTTACTTTCAGATATTTGGTCATGTCCGTGGATTCCGGCTGACAGGCCATGTAATCCCAAACTTTCCCTTCTTCTGTATAAATCTGAGTCTTACACACATCATAATGTCCCCATACCAAAGGGTAGGGCTGCATCACTGAGGACACTGTAACCCAAAGGGCGTGAATTGACAGGAATCTTGACAAATACATCTCTAAATTCTTGGCAGTCTTCGTGGAAATAAAGCAGGTGTGGTGATCGGTGATCTCTATTTTACATATACATATAGGTCTATATGTAGGCAGGTCTGTATATTTTTTTTTTTAAAGAGGATGAAACTTCAACGTAGATCCCAAATCTAAAAGTGAAGGGCAGATATTGTGCGTGTTCAGGTATATTGAGGACTTTGGTGGGAGCCTAACATACTTGTGCGTTAGGCGTTGACAACAACTTGCAGCTTCCTCGTGGTCCTAGAACATATCTATTAGACTGGGGTGTAGTTTGGTTTTGTAAAAGATGTCCAGTAGCAGAGAATGACTTTGCAAAGTGATGGCTCTCCTGTTGTACATCCAATAACCCTGGGTGATCCTTGGTGCTCACGGCTCACACGAGATGCTCAGACTCAGTAGGATTTCAGTACCTGAAGCAAAAGGATGAGTGTCTATAGCCAGGTGTCTGTTTCTCATCAATCATTCTTTCCTTCTGGCACCAACACCCTTTAAGAAACAATAAGAGTAAGAGTTATTGCCCCAGAATCAATGCATTACAAACCGTATGATATGTTGACATTTGGGAGGTTTGATGCAATATAAAGCAAATTGGTGTAATATGGATAACCTTTACTCCGCTGTTTTGCTAGAATGAGCAAACCACAGAAATCATTCACATTGGGGAGAATTTTGATATGAAGGATTTAACTCTTCCATAACAAAGACAGATGTGCATGTTCCAGGTGAGTTACAGGTTTTCACTTCAAAAACTGTATTTCCATCTTGACAAAACTGAGAGCAAGCAGCTAGATTTAAACATTTCTCATGGATTGCAGTGCTAGAAAATCTTCCAGGAGAACAATGGGGGAAATGAATGCTTTTATAACAATGACAAAAAAGTGACAACTACTTGTATGCCTTTTGTCTGTTGGCAAAGAGACCCTAAAAATCTCTAAATTCCTTGTACATTTCTTAGCTTTTGTTAGCTGGAGTGAAAACCGGCATTGTTCACACAAGGCTGTCCCTTTGGATTTGTTCATTATATTGGAAGAACTTAGCCTCTTTTGTTTAGTTGCATTTAGTGATAAAGATAACTTGGCTCTCTGAAAAAAATACTCAAAAATAAAACCAAAGGAGCAAATTTTCTTTTCACAAGAATCTTCTATTTTCTTACATCTTTTTATAGCCATTACATCTGCATTTGCACTTACTTTCTGTAACAGAAGAAGAGAATTTGTCCCAAAGGCAAATATTATACGCCGCTTTAAAACTAAAAGCTCGGTAGTAAAACGCACAATTTAAAATGCACACATAAAAATAGCTGAGGGTGAGTTAACAGGCCATGAAGCAGAATAATATGGCACTAATTCTAAGAGAAAATAAAAATTACTGTTTAAAAGTACTTTGGGTTAACTGATAATGCAGCCTCCCCGACTAGGCATACTAGTCACTGGTGAGTTGAAATGGCAACTTTTCTCTTTAGAGACTGCTGTCCAAGTCTAACCAAACATTCATATTTGGAATCCAAGGTGTAAAAAACAGGCATTTGTGTGATTAGTTGGTTCATACAGAGTCCCAGTAATTATTTTTTTAAACACCTGAAAAAGGACAAAAAAGCCTACAGGTTAGAAAATGCCATTATAGAGCCTTTAATTCACATAGGCGGTTTAAATAGGGAAGTTCGCTATCTTCAAACAATCTTAGAAAAGGAATTCAATATACTTAAATAATGCACCATCTTAAAATGAACTAAGCCACAGAGACTATGAAATGCCAACGGATGGCTGAATAGTGTTTCCATAGCAAAGTAATTTATAATAATTGCTTTATGGATGCAAGTGCAATTTTCATTATATTCAATTCATAAAATGTTATCATACAGCTGCAATTTGTGATATTTTCTATTAGGAAAAGTGTTGAATATTTAAGTTCCTACGAAGCAATAATTAGCAGTTTGTCTAAACATGTATAAACTGCAGATTTGAATCTGCCTCCTCCTAGTAACATATAGATGTGTTGGGCACATTTTGATTTCTGAAGCTAAAAACAAAGAAATCACAGAGAAGCATGTGTTGTGGCTACTACAGCCCTCTGCTTTTTCAGATTAAATGGCAATTTTAAGCCGATATTTTCAGAAACAGCCGACAATTTGACAATTAAAAATCTGAAAAGGTGTTAAAATAACACAAATGTACATTTTCTAGAAATATGCAGTTTTCAACTGGTTACTACTTCATTATAACAAGAACACACACTTTCATGGGGTGTGGGGGAGCTGGGCATTACAGCAGAAGTGATGTAAAATCTACGAGACTAGAAATTATTAACTTCAACTCTTAGGTTCAAATACACAGCAACTTATTTTTCAAAAATAATATAATCTGGAACACCGGGAATGGACTGCTCTGTTTGAAGTGAGTGAAAATTATGAGTTAATTTTTAATACTGTTTTTACCACCTGACCTTAAGTGTGTATTCGAATGCTCCCTGACATTAACCTTCACTTTTTTTTAAATAAACCTAACATTTATTTATTTGTAACTCTGTCTTTATCCACCTTCTGCCTTATGGCAACGACAAAATAAAGGATGACCAGATAGACATATGTGAAAAATTTGGACACTAAGGAAATGTATGTGAACCTGTTACTTGACGCAACAGCAATCCCAATATAACGAATTCTCATTAAAGTATAGCAGAATTATAATGATGGTCATTACACAGAATTATGGACTACACCATTGATCGAATTTAGAGAACTGACAAGGAAAAATGCAGAGGAGTGCAGGATATTTGAATATTAGGCAGTTGCAGGACTGTGCGACAGACATTCTTGACAAGAAGCAGCCAATTATAGCTTAAATTTCTGGCACATAACCAGTTGTGATTAATAGTTTTCCATTACATTACAGACATATTATTAATGTATTAAAAATGTCAAGCTTTGGCAAGCACTAATATGGCATGGCTCGGTTAGTCTGCAGAATTTACATTTAATGAGCTCCCATTGACATAGAAAAAGATATTGACCACGGCATATTACAGATCAGGAGCAGAGGGTCACTAAGCTGTTCTTGAACATAATTGCTTAATTTCATCCTAATTTTTATATTTGTAGCATGTATGCTACTATGTATTCTTCACTCCTTACTTCTTTCAGCGCCACATACAGTTCAAAGAAAATCCTCGTTTTAAAATTAATAAGAAATTAAATCTGTGAATTTCCATAGCACACGGTGGAAAGGAAGCCTCTGTCAAAACTCGGGAATTTGCTTTTAAAGTATCATTATGGAGTTTTCAAAGAAAATAAAACAATATGAAAGTAGAATAGTATTTACCCCCTAACCTCTATTGCCTACTGGCACCGGTTCCCATCTGGCTATGCTTTCAACCAGGTTAAAATCATCAACAGCTTCTTAAAAGCTACGTCATCACAGCAAATAGCCAGGCAATCGGATGGTGGGAAGGACAGTCAACGACATATTTGGGGATTTAATATACAAAACCAACCCCTTCTGGCCCATAACTGAACTAATTGCCAAGTAATGGGGGCTCTCAATTTGTCCCAGGTGTCCGTATCACCTAATGTGAGCAGCTTCAGAAGGGCTCTGGGCAGTCACGGTTCTAGTTCTTTGCTTTGCCAGCCTTGGGAACTGATTGTTTTCAAATAATGCCATCATCTCTACCTATGTACTAAAGTGCTGAGAAGTCCTCTTTGATGAAAATACCCATTAATATGCTATGAGAACTCCACAGACTCTCCCTGGTATATCAATTTGCAGAGCCTATGTGAAAATATAAAATTATGTCCTCAGGTTGATAGATGCTATTGATCTGGACTAAAAGGGGCTATAACATGGCTCTGCATCCACAGGACATCTTTTTCCAGGATTCTGAAGCTAATTCCCTTCCACCTGCGAATAACTTGGGGGAAAGTATTTCACAGGCCCTTTCTCTCATCAGAAAGGAAGCCTCCCAAAGTAGTACACAGGAGTAATAATGGTCAAAATTATAGACAATCATATTCTAAAAACAACTGCCAATTTCATCAACTGAGAGGAAAATATTGACAGTAAATCCATGAACTCTAGCTCATTTGTTTTATTATATAATCTCACTAGGAGGTGGGAGTGGTAGTAGTAGGCTATTTATTCCATAAATACCCAGCTCTTCAGGAGCACCTGAAATAGACAGCTATTGACTCATTCCTCATAGACATTAAGAATTTTATAAATATGCATGTTTCTGAATGGGAAGGAACAAAAAGAACACTGACTATAATCATATTTCATTGAATGAAAAGTATAAAGAGATAAAGACATACCTAAATTCTATAACCCACCAAAATTAGCAGATTCCAACACTGTCATAATGAGATTGATATAATTAAGACATACTGAAAGCTTTTTGCATTTATTTATTATTTGAGGAAAGCATTTTCTAGCCACCTTAACGGGAAACATTTGCTTCTACCCTTTTGTTAACTGTCTTCCGGAATATAAGGAATTTAACATGTGCTGCAACATCATTGGCATATTTTACTCGTGCTTGATTGGGTATTATGAGCAACTGCCTATCATGAGATTCTTAATAAAACCAAATAGCACACCTTAGCATTTGACAGACCTCGGTTTTCACTGAGAGAAGAATGATTAGAGGAATCAGATAGCATATACTTAGCAGGATGTTTGGGGATGGGATAATATATAAAATTAGTTCAGAATCAGTTAAGCCTGGAAGAAATCTGGCATTTCATTACCATAGAACAACAAATCTCTCCTTCTTGTGTAGGAAAGTTCAGACAGCCAAGGTTCCAAACACACATTTAAGAAAATATACACCCACCTGAAGTTTTGAAACAAAGCTCTGGATTGTGAAGATAAAATCTTTCTTAAAGTATGCTATATCTCTTACTGACCTACAACACACACACACACACACACACACACACACACTTTTCTCTTAATGTAATATTTGACTTTCTGAGTTACATGAAATTTTCTTTCTTTCCAAGCGACTTGATGCTCTGGTAACTCTAAAACTCTTCACATCTTAACAACTCTTAGAAAAAGCATAACAACTAAATGTGTAATGGCTTAAATTTTTTGACATATTACCTGGGGTTTTTGTTTTTGTTTTTGTTTTTTTTGGAATATAATAATGGAGGCAGACAAGTAGTTGTGCCAATTGCAAATATACAAAAGGAAACTGCAAAATACATTAAGCTCGTCCTAAAAAAACTAACCCAATTCACTTTAACACACATGCCCCGTGAAAGCTGACAAAACAAAAATCTCAATAGAAAAAGCTTTGTGTGCAAATAATATAAACTGTTTTCATACAAAATTTTAAGATGATCTCTCTTAAATTTCACAGTAAGGAGTATAATCACATTAATAGCCATATATGGAATTCCGAATGCCTTCATATTGATCTTTAGTGGT